CCTCCTGGATGTCACCTCCAGCCAGAGCATCGCTGCCGCCGCTGCCTGGGTCCGGGAGCGTGTGGGTGACCGAGGTAGGACAGGGCGGACGCCCCGTTGTCGCTCCTCCTGCCACGTAACGTACGCGTGCCCAGCACAGCCGCGGCGGGTGTGAGTCCGTCGCGCATTTGAGGCCGTAGAGCAGCCCCAGCTCATGCTGTCCCTTCTTGCAGGGCTCTGGGGCCTCGTGAACAACGCGGGGATTGCCATCCCCACTGCCCCGAACGAGTGGCTGACCAAGGACGACTTCGTCAAGGTGCTGGATGTCAACCTGGTTGGCCTCGTTGAGGTGACGTTGAGCCTCCTGCCACTGGTGCGACGGGCGCGGGGCCGTGTGGTCAACGTGGCCAGTGTGATGGGCCGTGTCTCCGTCTTCGGTGGGGGGTACTGCATCTCCAAGTTTGGTGTGGAAGCCTTCTCTGATAGCCTCAGGTAAGTCTGTCAGGGCAGGCACTCTCCTGATTTCCAAGTTGTTTTTTCCAGACTCTGCCTTGCACAGCCTGCAGTTGTCAACACCCATCCTTCCACGAGCACAGGCTGAGCTTGCTGTAGCAGCTGCTGCAGCATGGGAATTGCCTGTCCCAGCATGGAGCCTCTCCTTTGGACCTTGCTCCCATCCAGGATCCAGGAGGCTGTGGCCCTGCAGCCCTGAGCTTTGCTTTGCCCTCAGTCCATCCAGATAGAGCAGATGTTTGCTCGTGCACTACCTGGCACCACGTCTGCCAGTGTGGTCAGGCCTCAGGCCTCCGGCATGAGGCTGTTGTGCATCCTGTGGGAGAGGTGGGCACAGACACAACTGGGGACTGCTCCCATGTCCCACGGGGCTCGATCCCTTCCAGGCTTGAGATGCGCAACTTTGGGGTGAAGGTCAGCGTGATCGAGCCAGGATACTTCAAAACAATGATCACTGATGTCGAGAGTCTGGAGAGGAATTTTCTTTCCGTCTGGAAGAAGCTTCCTGAGGAAATCAGAACGAGTTACGGGGAGAGTTATTTGAAGCAGTGTAAGTACCTCCCCCAAAGGTTGAGCGATGCTGTTTCTTTCCTGAAAGAAGGTACATCCTGAGGGTCATGGGAGTCCCACCACCCTATAACCCCACTGAGCCACTCAGCTCCACTCAGCTCCACTCAGCTCCAAGGTCTCAGCAGTGTTTTCTGCCTCTGCAGTTGTGGCATCGCTCAAGATGATGCAAAAGGGGTACAACACTGACCTGTCTCTGGTCACAAACTGCATGGAGCACGCGCTGACCAGTCTCCACCCCCGCGCCCGCTACTCCGCCGGCTGGGATGCCAAGCTGCTCTACATTCCCCTTAGCTACCTGCCCTCGGCCCTCACGGACGCCGTGTTCACCTTGTTTTACCCCAAGTCTCTTGCGAAAGCCTAAGGCAGGGATGCCAGGCTAAGGGGCAGGGACGCCAAAGCAGCGCTTGCAGCATCGGGTGGGACCCAGTGGTGCTGGGTGGGATCTTGCATCACCCGCAGCGAGGCCATGCCGAGGTTCCTGAGTTTGTAACTCGATGTACGTTTCACCTGCTGTCCCCTGCCCACAGAGGGCTTTGTCCTGAATAAAGATCTCTATCCTCTCCTGGCAGAGCACGGTGTCGCCTTCAGGCTGCCATGCCGTGTTGCGGTGGTTCCTGGGGGGCTATACCGTTCCCACAAGCACCTGCTCCGTGCAGGATCCAGCCCCCACTGAGGTCCCAGAGCTGGATTTTCCTGAGGCTGCGCTGGAGACATTAACACGCGGAAATAAACCCCTGACCTGTTCCAGCGTGGGCAGATTTCCCTCGGGGCACAGGGCTGGGCAGCGTCTGAGCATCATCTCCCTCCTCCTCTTCCTCCCCTTGCAGAGCTGGTCAGTGGGGGCTGTCCCACTCCACCGTCAAGGCTAGGGATGCCATCCTCCCACCAAAGCTGGGTGATAGGGGAAGGTCCAGGGTTGGTGCTGCCAAGTGTGTCTGGAAGGTTCACCAAATCCAGCTCTGTGGGGCAGCAGGATCCACCCGCTAAGGGCACAGCAGAGCCTGAGGCACAGGGAATGTTGCAAGGCAGAGCCAAGAATTGCAGCCCAGAGGGGAACACTCGGCCAGGTGCTGCTGTAATCCTGGCTCTATATATATGGCTCAAGTGCAGCCAGCAAAAGCTGTTGCTGAGCAGTGACAGTGCCAAGAATGTGGCTGTACGTGGCGGTGGTGCTGGTGGGGCTGTACCTGCTGCGGCGCTGGCATCGGGAGCGGCAGATGGTGCCACGGCTCTCGGACAAGCATGTGCTGATCACGGGCTGCGACAGCGGCTTCGGGAACCTGCTGGCGCGGCAGCTGGACGCGCGCGGGCTGCGG